GATCTTAGTTGGAACCTGAGTTTACCTGTCCAGGAAATACCCAAGCATGTAGTTATTTATACTGTTCTCAATGTTTTAATGACATAGAGTTTTTTAAAAGCTAGGCTTTTAATAGGCTAGTGGCCTAAATGTGTCTTTGACCTCTAAAAACATTCTGTGCCTTCCTTTGACCTCAACTCTTGGTGCTTAACCAATGAGCAACTCCTGATTATTCACATGAACCTTTTCTTGCAAAACTTTAAAGATCAGCCTCGCTTCATCGTATCACTTAGCAGACATGTAAGCAACTAGCTTCTAAAGTTTGCTTGAAAACTGTAGACCTATTAATTTTAGTTTAAACAAGATAGAACTAGTGCAAATCTGCTGCTAAGTCAAGTATATAACATGGTTCAAAGTTCAGTGGAAATAACTTATTGGTCATTTAATCAGTATTTATAAACACCTTCTGTGTCTCAAAACTTGTATTAGTGATTCAGGCAGAGTGATATAAATCAGATGTGGCTTTAGTTCATTAATAACACATATTAACATTGATAAGAAGAGCCTGCAAATAATATACCATGATAGAAAATGGCAATAACAGAGTGAAATGAAGTATTGTGGAAGTTTGGAGGAGAAAGGCAGTATGTCTGCATTGGTAGGAGATGCTGGCATATGGGAGTAGCATTGAAGTCATAGTAGATTTTGGACATGTAGGGGAAATCTAGATGGAGAGACAACTTAAGGGAGAAGTGATTAAATTGGAGCAGAGGCTTTGTGAAGTTGAGTGAAGGGAAGAAGTATGGAAAGACAGATTGGGCCCTTGAATGCCCATCTTGGGAGTTTATAATTCTTTGAGGGCTCTTGGGAGCCATTAAAAATTTTTGAGCATGCACCTTGTAAGTTGTAGGGTGGTATGTGTGACTGGAGGAAGTTTATCAGATAAGAAAACAGAAGATGAACTTTCATAGGAAGAAGCTGACAGTAGTATGGATATCAGTTAAAGGCTAAACCAGTTGTCCCAGAGGGAAACTAATGTGGGTCTAAAGCTGAGTAGGAGGATTGAAGGGTAGGGAATGAATGCAGGTGAGATTTTATAGGAAAATAAATAGGACTTCACCCTTTATTGGAAGTGAGAAATACAAGAGAAGTAGAAATTTTTAAATGGAACAGAGGTTTTAAATGAGATGAGCTGAAAATTCAAAGAAAAGAACAAAGAAGAAGTAAATTTATTTGGAAAGTTATGAGCTTGATTTAAGGTACTGAATTTACCTTGCTAAAATTCGTGATGTCAGACTTGTAGTTCTTGTATTTGAAGATGGAGGACAGGAACTGAGACAAGTCAGAGGTTGAAACAAAGGCTTAGAAATCATCCACATGGGATGTCATCTTTGTCAAATCAGGCCAAGCCACGAGGAGCCAATGTTGGGAGCTTGTTAGGAATGAAGCCTGTCTGGCTCACAAGTATGCTTATTTATGTAGTTTTAAAAACTTAAAAATATGAAAATTAAGTCCACATTTTAAAATCAGAAGATTTTCTTAAAATATTGACTTCTTGCTTCTCTTTGAAAATGTAAAGATGTCTGTAATTATGTCACATTGCCACATGACAACAGCCACAGAGTCTTCCCTCTTGAGATCCTGGGTGAATTCTCAGATTCATCACAGTCCCCACTACTCCCAGCCATCTCCCTACAACTCTAAGTTTATAGAGACAAAAAGTAGATTAGTGGTGGCCGAGAGCTCAGGGTATGTCATGGATCCTGGGAGTGATTGCTAAGGGGTATAAAATCTTTTTGGGGGCTAATGAAATTGTGGCAGTTGTTGAGCAACTTTGAATACAGTAAAAGCCATTGAACTGTACGCTTTATTTTTTTAATTACTTAAATTATTTTATTGGTACATTTTAGGTATACAACACATTTACATTTCTCATTGAGAATTGTACCTTTACATGATGCATCTTTGTTCTTATTTTTTCCCCATTCCCCTGCCCTCCCTTCACCTCCTCCACCCTTCCCTAGTTACAAAGACTTTATTTCCATTTTTTCCATTTCTCATCATTTCCCCTTTCCCTTCTTTCCTTTCCCCTGCCCCTCCCACTACCCCTACCCCTTTGGACCTTTTCTTCCTATTTTGCATTATCGATTATTCATTCTAATCATTGGTACATTTTAGGTATACAATATAATGACATTCATCATTGGAAATTTGCACCTTTACATAGTCTCTCTTGGTTCTTATTTTTCCCCATTCCCCTGCCCTCCCTTCACCTCCTCCACCCTTCCCTAGTTACAAAGACTTTATTTCCATTTTTTCCATTTCTCATCATTTCCCCTTTCCCTTCTTTCCTTTCCCCTGCCCCTCCCACTACCCCTACCCAGAACTTTTCTTCCTATTTCACATTATCTATTATACGTTTTAGCCCTTATTTACACTTTCAGTTTCTCACACCAGAGAAACTATTCAGTATTTATACATGTGTGTCCTATTTATTTCACTTAAGAGTATCGCCTCAATGTGCATCCATTTAGCTATAAATGTCTCTAATTTCTCACTTTTTATGGCTGAGTAGTACTCCACTTTATTAAAAAACCACATTTTCTTTATCCAGTCTCCAGTTGATGGGCATTTGGGCTGTTTCCAAGTTTTAGCTATTACAAATTGTGCTGCTATGAACATGGGTGCACATATATCACTGTGGTATGATTCTTTTAATTCTTTGGGGAAGATCTCCAGCAGGGGAATAGTGGGGTCAAATGGGACTTCCAGTCCTATGAACTATACACTTTAAATGAGTGAATTGTATGATGTGTGAATTATCTCAATAAAGCTTTTTTTTTTGGTACTGGGGATCAAACTCAGGACCTTGCTGCCTGCAAGACAGGCAGCAGAACCACTGAGCTAAATCCACAGCCCCAATAAAACTATTTTTAAATGTAAATGTATTTGCTTTTGCCCTTGTAGTACTAGTTTTTCTGTAACAAAAATATTTGTCAGCAACTGTTTCTCTATCAAGAAGTGGAAAATATTAAGTAGACTGAGATTATATATTTCAAGAAAAAAAGAGAGTACATCTTTTTGTGGTAATAAAGGCAAACACCTGGCCTCTTCACTAATGTGTGTTGCCTTCCTAGCCACAAAGGCATTTGGTATTAGACAGAAATAAATTTGGTCATGCTCAACTCCCTGAGCTCCACTACAACTAAGAGGAAAGGAAAAATAAAAGCAGAAGAGGGAAAGAAGTAACAGACATGGTAAAAGGAGAAACAGAGAAGGCCAGTAGATGGGATGCAAAGGAAGAGGGAAGACCTATCAACTGCTGATAAGAAGTCAAGGAGGAGGAGGAAAAAGAAGTCAGGAGCTCACAGTAGGCCACTCAGTGAGTGAGCTTAGAGAGAGAAGGCCAAAGAGAGAGATGCAGAGGTAGATTCAATGCCCTGATCTGCATTGTTCAGGAATTAATATTTTGTCCTCAGACATGGAGTACTGCTGAAGATTTTAAGTAGAGGTATAGGGTAATCAGATGAACTTGGTCTAGATTATTTGTTTTCACATTAATTTGTGCATGCTTTGAGTTGTGTGCATGATGAACCAAGGTTACTCCAAATTTTATTCTTTCCTATGATAAATTCTCCTGTAAGCTGAAATCCCCAGTTTTACTGATTTCCATTTAATTCATGCCTGGACCTACTTGAACTAGAAAAAAAATATATCTGGCTGGTATTATCTAACCTGGAGTTTTTTCAACCTAGCATTGTTGTATTTGGGTTAAATAATTCTTTTTCACAGGTCTTGTTCTGTGCATTACAGGATATTTAGCAACATATTCTCTGGATGCCAGTAGCACTCCCAGCTAAACATTGCCAATAAAGTCACCTCCAATTAAGAACTACTGAATAGCATTTTATTTGTTGCAGCATTTGGACCCAAAAGCTTAAGCCATGTGCAATTGGTAGACCACCCTGAAGGATGTCTGGCCTGGAAAAGAGGACTGATGCCTATTCCATGTTGCAAGGTGCAAATCACATGATGCAGAGAAACAAAAACAAATGAGAAATTCAAGGCCTCATTTTGTTTCAGTTAATTCATTAGATTTCAGTCTCTGTCCTAGGTCTCCTCCTTGAAAAGAGGTGGTATCTTGAAAATAGGAGACAGAAGAAAGGGTCCACCAGGGCTCCCTCTGAGGCTAGGATTCCTGAGATGGCCCAGGGCCAAAGCAGGCCTAAGAGTTAGGAGACGATCTCAGGAGGCACCAGACATGATAGTGAGACTTGGCTTCTCAGTGGTAGAACTCAGAAGCTTGCCTTGGGGGGCAGGGGGGCAAAAGTGTTTGTGCTCCTAGTGATGTCAAGAGGGATTGGTGAAGCTTTGGAGATGTAAGATGGTCGCAGAAGTGCAACTTGGAGTAGACTATGAGCTCAGATGGTTTACTTCAGATCCTCCCTCTTACAGAAAAGTCTTTAGAAGTTAAAGGAATGTTTCTCTTGGAATGGGGATGCCTAAAAACAGACTAGTTGTAAAAAGTTGAGATCTTTTCCCAATTCCCCTTCTGGATATATGTGTGTGTACAGGGGTTGACAGGGCAAAGGAATTTTGAGTATATGCCACCATTTTTCCTATATTGATAAGGAAAATTTAATTAGGACTTATCGAGCTAAAAAAAGTCTAACTATTAAACTAAGACTATTTCATAACTGACTCCTATTCTGTAAAGTAGTTTTATGCCTTTCTGTGTGATTATTGAGGGACTTGATTCATTATTAGCAATGGCTCCAAGCTGCCTTGTTGACATCTAACTGTCATTGTTTAGCCCAGTGGTGGTCACTTTCACTGAAGCTGAAAGAAATCCATGCTGGTTTTTATCTTTAGTCTCATATTCCTTAACCCCTCTTCTATTCTTATTCATCAACTTTTGGAGTGATGAACCAACCAAGCAGTAAGTAAGAAATGGACATTGTGTGAAATGCTATCACAAGAAAAGGCATTCCTTAACATGATTTTTCCCTGGCTCATTTCAGGAGCTTCTGGATCCAGTTGTGTGATTGCTGCACTAGGAAACACCTGGAGTCACAGTGTGAATACCCGACTGATCCTCCAGTACCTTGATTCAGAGAGAAGACAGGTGAGTGCTCTGACCATGTTCCATCTAGGTCAAAGAACAAGATGTGCCTAGAGATCAGAGCATCTTCAGAAAGTGTCAGGCACCTCTTCTTTCTGGGCTGGCACTGGCAAGGGAAGCATAAAGAAACCTAGCCTTCTCCAACAGCATTTATACTAGAATGAGAGACTTGTCACATTATGTAAGAAGAGATTCCACTGAGTAACTATAAATGACCAGGGCCACACCTCTAGGGATTTCAAATTCTCCATCTCTAAATGATAATTTCACAGTAATTTGTGTGTAAATTAGTGATTGTGGCTTTTCTTTTTCTTTTTTTGGTACCGGGGATCAAACTCGGGTCCTTGCGCTTGTGCAGCAAGCGGTGAAACCACTGAGCTAAATCCCCGGCCCAATTGTGGCTTTTCTTGATGTATGTATGCTTTGAAAACTTTAGGCTAAACTGATCCTGCTAAGTGAATAAATGATTCCCCAGATTCTGGCTACTTTTATGTTATCACATAATGATGCCAGAGAGTCCTCCAAAAGAATGAAGACTTCCTCAGCACTCCCTGTTTATGGTTTCTATTCGCCCAAATGAGAATCATCCTCTTCCCCCGCAAGAAGGTATCAATCTAACCCTTTCTAAATGTTATCTCTCCATTCTAGAAGAAGGGACACCACAGCCTGACCTCTTTCATAATCAGAAAATGTCTTCCTAATGTCTTACCTTAACGTTCTATATGACCAAATTCAGCCAGGTCCTCTCCTGCAAGTAAGGCAAGGAAGAAGACAGGTGAATATTCTTGTTTTATATGGGGCCAAACTCAGAAGCCAGATTTACCCATGTTGCTAAATATATGACAGATCCTGTTTATTAAAGAGCCATGAACTATCACACTGGTAGTCCTTCCAGAAAAGACAAGGGCAGAGTATTGTTGCCTTTACCTGCATTAGGTAAGCTGGCTCTTTTTTCAAGGAGCAAGAATCATCTAAAACATGGGATGAGCCTTGGCCTGTTCCAGACATAACTTTATGAATGACCTCGGCTGCAAACCAGAGGATTCTTGTTGGTTTTCCTGGGACTATGTAAATAACATACCTGCTTAGTGATGGGTAAGCCCAGTCCTAAGAAGATAGAACAGCTTGTTTTTGTTCAGGGAAGTGTTCTTGTTTTCAGGCCCTGGCATCTCATTACCTCAGTGATACCTTTTGCCTGATGATTCAGGTATCCTGGGTTCTCAGTCCATTACTACTCTTCTTGGCAGCACACATCCAGAAATATTCCTGGAGAACCTAATGACTTTTTGATGATAAAGTAGGATAAACAAAACTTTGCTTGCAGCTGTCAGGTATATCATAATGATTGTCAAGCACTCCTATGCAAACTCTAGTAGAGGAAGCAAAATTTCTTATAAATCAATCTTGATTCATTCATTTTCACAGATCTTTGGCCTCCCAGTTTATCTCAGCTTTAGATTTTCAATGGCACTCTTACTGCAATACCTTGATGTGTGCTGAGGTCTCTTGTATGTGGTATCATGGGTTCAAGGCTCCCAGATTCTTGTTTTACTAATTTCAGTTGAAATTTATATAAAAAACTTAGAGCCACATTTTTCTTTTCCTTGTAATAACTTAACCAGTAACTTCTACATTGTCAGTGTCAACAGGATATAGCTGAGAGGACATACACTATTCTTCTTTATCTCTTTAGAAACTGGAGAATTTTGGTAGCTCTTGGCTCTTTGCTGATGAGGTCAAATGCAGGCCACTGGTCACAGGAAGAAAAGCAGGACCGAAGTGTGGATTGATCACATCCTGTTAGATGTATCAGTGGTGGGTTGTTTTTTTTTTTTGGTGGGGTGGAGGGGGGGATCGAACTCGGGACCTTGCACTTGCGAGGCAGGCGCCAGAACCACTGAGCTAAATCCCCGGCCCCAATGGTGTTACTTTAATCTACAAAGGACAACTTGTTACTATCACTACTAATCAATCAGAAGTAGACTGAAATGCCTTTGAGTCATGTTTTCAAACAATGATTTGCAATGAATGTAAAATATGACCAGTAGTAAAATGCCCAACCCAGTCAAAAGAACATACATTTAACTACTGTATGGAAATAAGCATGCTTTGGAGGACTAGTTGTTAAGCTTTTGACCTAATAACTAGGCTACAGGTTGATATAGAAAACATGTCTCTATCTGATGATGTTATCTCGCCTTACCAGAGGCTGTGCTTAATGATTCACAGTGGCCTTACATCATGACAAAGAATACAAGTCATATGAAGATAAGCCTTTTTGGTGATATGTGCAGAAAACATTATATTAAAGCTAGTCTTAAATATAATTGTACCAAATGCTACTTTCATATAATACTACTTAGTAGAAGAGCATTCTAGAATAGTCTCTGAGACACCAACCACTTGGAGAGGTTACCAGTATAGATTTTTGCTTATTGAGTTTTTTTCTATCCACAACCAGAGGCCTCTCCCCAAGGGATCAAGGTTATGGAACGAGAATCATGTTTGATCTCATTTCTATGGCATTGAGCTCTCTACCAAGGCTCTTGAATGTGAGGCTTAGTGTGGGTTCACAAGGCTGGAAGAAGGTCATGTCAAGCAGAGCAGATCTTTGAGCCTATTAACCCAAGCGCTGCATTGTACAGTGCAAGGGAAGGAGTCTTCCATGGCCGATTGTTTTCCTCACACCCTGGAAACTTTGTAAAATTATATAACTAAGAAAGAAATCTCCTTATCAGGGCACAAGCCAAGTTAATTCCCATGCTTATTCTCCTTTGGTCTTTCTGCAAAAACCCTCTTAAGAAGCCAGGAAACATTTGCATTTGGACTCATTTAACTTTTTTTCCCTTGTGACTTTTATTTATTTTTTATTTTTCCTATTCTACTTCAATCTTGCTTCACAATTTTTGCCAAAGTCATGTTCTTAAGAGTAAAATTAAAATGGCATCATCAATGAATTGTTAAAAGCAGTGACTTCCATGAATCCAAAGGGAAGTAAAATCATTAGATGCACATTGAGTCTTTCCAAGAGAAGGTGAGGCCTGACCTTAAACCAGTGGTACTCAACCTGGCTTCACTTCAGATTTACTTATTTCAGGAGCATTTACAAAATGCCAATGCCTGGGCCCCACCGTCACCACTTAAATAAAGATCTCTACTGCAGGGTGAATTAGGAGGGTGCCAGGCACCAGTGTTCATATTAGTTGTGAAGCTGGCCCAAGTAATTTTAACGTACAGCCAAGTTTGGGACACCTCGCCTTAAGTAATAAGTGCCACTGGATTGGTTAGAAAGGACAGATATTGAAGCAGAGTGAAAACAGCACAGAAGAAAAGCAAGAGAGCAGCCACATCCTCAGGTGGCACAGGCTAGGTTTTGCCTTGAAACCAGAGCAGAAGTTCATGTGCTCATTCAGTGAATCTTTATTTAATCACCCCTTCCTTATCTGTTAGTTTCCATGTATGATGCTAGAGTCAAAGGATAAGGAAAGTGGTTGATACCCTTTAGTTGTTCACTGTCTACTTGGAGAAGCATAACAATGTGAACAGTATGCTATAAGAGTATCATGATTTAAGTAAGCATAGAGGAATTGGAGGGCTCTACCCCTAAAGAAGGTTCTGAGGTGTTTAAAGAGCAGCGCCATGCTGCTAGGAGGGACTGGCTGATGCCTGCATTTGGGAAACAGTCACAGTAACCAGGTGTCCTGTGGTGAGGGACCTGAAAAGCTGGAGGGAGAATGGTTATATTTGAAAGAATGAAGCAAAAACCTGATGAAACATTCAGAATATTTCTCTTCAAATTCTCATGAAGTCTGTTCCTACAAACCATATTTGGGGTTATATAAATTTTGAGGTGCCCTAGGAGCAATAACGAAATAAATTAATCCTGACCAAGCCTCACACTCTCTTGATGAAATAAATATTATGACTTTCTTATTTCAACAAATGGGAAGGAGCTGACTTCTTCATATAGTAAGTTTATTTAAATGGGCTTTATAATAATAATATTTTCATCTTTTATTTAGAATGACTCTGAAGTTACAGAACACTTGAGGGATGAGCCAGAGAATTGTTGATAGCACCAATATTATTTCTTAAGTTCTTGATCCTGACTGAATCCATGGGCTTCTCTCAGAGTCCCGGGTTTTGCATCTTGGAATTATTCAGTGTTTCCTTTATGGTGATAAAAGTACTCTCTCAGTGTCCATTTTATATTTTCAGTTCTTATACCTTTAAGCTCTGAATTATGAGTCCCTTGAGGTCTGTGACTGAATCTACTCATGTATTCTCAGAGACAAGGGCAATGCTTGACATTTAAACACATTTGATACATGCATTGGAATAAAAGAGAAAGAAACAAACTCCATGTACCTATATGTGAGCCCAGTCTTGAGGAATCCGGACATACCACTGATTTAGACTCGCGCTTCTGCATGGAATTGAGCTTTGCAGCTTAATAGTTCCTTTAAAGTATTAGTACTTGTCATTTGAAAGGGTTAGCATCAAACTTTGAGAATTACAAGCAGATATCTGAATAGAAATGCCATCACAGTACTAGAATATAGGAACACTTTTTTGCAGAACCAGTCAGCTAGGGTCTTTGGGAGAATAGGAAACAGGCTTCCTCTAGGCTCTTAGCAGGAATTCCTTTCTATAAGCAAGAGTGAGCCCTAACATAGACAGAGACCAAGTGAGGGAGGGGTCCTGCAGCTGTTTTTAGAAACAGGCAGCAGGGGGACTTAGGGGCAGAAGGGACAGAAGTCTTTGTTGCCCTCTTCCATGAGTCTTAACTTCTCTGTGTGGCTGAGAAGGCTTACTGGCGGTCAGAATAACAGAAGAAAAGATGATAAAAGTTTTCTCCAATAGGCTGAAAGGTAGATTTGGGGCAGAATGCCCATGTTCATCAGAGAGAAATGTTGTTCACCCAAACATTGGAAATGATGCTCTACCTGATATAAGCCTTAGTTGTATGTCTCTGTACTCCTAGATTCCTCCAGAGGGATCAG